ATTCATGGAGAAGGCTCTACATTTTCCAGCCTTTTTGGACTCCTCATGTGGGACATCATCTTTATCGATGGGGTTCCTGATGTCTTCCGAAACCCCTACCAGGTACACAATAATTAAAGAATAAATGCTGTGCACTTCACACATTTAGGGTTGCACTTTATTGTCAAGGCATACCACCCCAACAGATCAGTGATCAATGACTGCATGCCCTTTCCCAGACTTGTCCTTTGGATTTGCACACTGATTGTTTCTATGGTAACCGGCGGGAAGCCATCGAGGCGCGTGCTGAGATGTTACGCGAGGCATCTGCCGAGACGCTGCAGGAGCTGCTTGCTGATGTGTGGAACGCACAGGAGGGGAGAGTGTGTGCGCTGATAAACTGGGACCGTTTCTCCTCCCTTCAACAGGCACAGGTAATCACAGAGACTATATATATACTGCAAGTCTGTTCATGTGGCTTTACAGTAACATTAAAGTAATTTCAAATCAGCAATAAAATCTGACAACTGTGGTATCATAAATGTTGTTTCTTCAGCTCAACTTACGCAAAAAAATCTTTTCAAGCTGGTTCAGCTAAAGTGCATTTGTATTTTAGAGTAAAAAACAGTCAGTGCCTCTATTTAAAAGGCAACTGGCTCCTTTCTTAGTGCTGCCACATTGAGCGTTGTGATTTCTCTCATTATTTTTTTCCTACTAGTGGTCCATTTCCTCCTCAAAGTGTCTGTGACACCATTAATTCAAACACACGTTGATTTTTTTTTCCTAGGACAAGCATTCTTCTTTTTAATTCGTCATTATTTACAATTATTATTTATATATATAATTGATTAAACTGTGAATGCCAGATTATGTTCACAACCATACTGTAATTGCTTTATTTTCTTTGTCTGGTTTTAGAGTCTAGTGGCATGTCTGGGTGGCCACTTCCTGAGCGGTGTGGTCCTCAGAATGGCAAAGGACTACAGGCATTGCAGAGGAGGACTTCCAGATCTGGTAGTCTGGAGCACGTACAACAAGAAGTACAAGGTGAGTCAGAGACATAGCTTGCTGGTTAGGAAGGTATTCAACCTTTGACTGTGACTTATTTTACTGCTTTATTAGATTATAATGTTAAGAAACATTGGAAATACTGGATCTATAAACAAGGGGCCTTTAAATTGTTGCTCATTTGAGTTGTGTTCTTCTAGTTGGTGGAAGTAAAGGGTCCTAATGACCGTCTGTCCCAGAAGCAACAGATCTGGCTGGATGAGCTGCATAAGCTTGGGGCCGATGTAGAAGTTTGTCATGTCACTGCCACTGGAGCACGAGGGGCTCGACGGGAATGAGGCTGCTGTCACACTGAGTATGAAGACTTAAGCTCACCTCATGGCTCACCAAATAGGCAGAGTTCGAAGTGTTTGAAAAACAAAGGATGGATTTAATGATGGTATTAAAACCTCAGCTTGGCACTAATCTGGTGATGTAAGAGAAGAGTATTAATATGCCCTCTAAGGGAGTTTAAAAGGATTTATTCTCCCAGTCTGAATCATAAAACTGTTAAATTACCTCGTTTTTTTTATTCTTGTGCTCATTGTAAAGTGACTATATTTTAATGGCTGATTTAAAAAAAAAAAAACATTTCTGAAGTAAATACTTTGAAGACATTAAATAAAAACATCAAAATGTAAAAGTTTTTCTGTTTAAATAATAAAAATACTTAAGTATTTATGGAAAATATAAGCACATAATCTTGCAGCTTGCAAAAAGGGATTCCATTATGTCTATTATGTCTACAATGTCTGTGGATAAACAGACATTGTAGATAATAATTGTAATCTACAATTATTGTGGATAAAAAAACTCTTAGAAACACTGGGTGACCACATTCCAAGACTGAAATACCTTTTCATTGCATGTCACGCATATCTTTCATGTTTGACACCCAGAACAAAACTAATAAATCGTGCTTTTCAGTTTAACCTTTATAGATTCTGAAGTTTGCACATCATGCTACTGTAAAGTACATGAAACAGATAAGTGCAGATAAAAGAACATCATCAAATTTTCTTAATGTCCATTGCAGGCCTGAGAATCTGAGTTATTAGAACACTTTATCTGTTTTAAGGCCCATTAACTCCAAGAACGATTACTATAGATACCTGTAACAATAATTATATGAATGTCTGTGTTTATTGTATTCTTATACATTTCAAAGGAATTGCAGTAATAATATGGAAACATTCCAAATTGGTCCATAAAATCAAAAAGTATTTATGTATACGTGTAAAAATGTAGCTGGATGTGTACATTGCTTCAGCTGCTACCTCTGATGAGTGTGTGAATACTTGAGTGTGAGTATAAATAATAAATGGATGGTTATGAATAAGATTTTGAAAATATTACAGGGTCTTGACAACAAATGTACAACTTAATATACAGACTATTGTTTTACTGCCAGCAAAGCCAGGCTGGATTATCGCAATAATAATAGAAGCGTAAAGGTATAAACGTTTTCTATTGGCTGAGCGCTTATCCCTCCCGCGTCGAGACGTGACGCAGCGCTTGATAATTGGCTACTGCTTGTTGTGTTTAATACCAGTTTCTCACGTTACAGTCTTACAATTTACGCCATCAGTATAGTTCTAATATGTACTAAAGCCAAGATACAAAATATTTTAGACGACATATTCCGGGAATTAATAATTTCCTGCACCATCATTGTACATTCTGCACATTGTAAGTATAATGTGGGGTTGTTGGTTATGTGTGGGAACTCATGGTCATGCTTTGCTCAGCTAGCTGTTAGCTTTTAGCAGGAAGGTGGCGAGACCACATGTTTGTCTGTGCTAGAGAAAACATTTTTTTACTTTGAAGCTTTTTTTTTTTTAGATGAAGGGGATCGTAAATAACGAGATATTCTGGCAAACTGCTTTGCGCAGCGTAAACTGATTGTTTGGTTGATGGTTTAGCTAGCAAGACTGCTAGTGTTATTGTCATTAGCTTGTGTGCAATGACTGTATTGTTAAAAGTAAGACATTAAATCATTTCAGATCTGTCCATCAGACAAAGCTTTGTGATCAGTACCGCACCGAAACTGTCCATCTAAACACTGACCTCAAAGTCCACTTCCAACTTGAACATTGCATCCAATACACAATGCTGTCAGTGTCGATGTAAAGGACTATATTTTAATGGCTGATTTAAAAAAAAAAAAAACATTTCTGAAGTAAATACTTTGAAGACATTAAATAAAAACATCAAAATGTAAAAGTTTTTCTGTTTAAATAATAAAAATGCTTAAGTATTTATGGAAAATATAAGCACATAATCTTGCAGCTTGCAAAAAGGGATTCCATTATGTCTATTATGTCTACAATGTCTGTGGATAAACAGACATTGTAGATAATAATTGTAATCTACAATTATTGTGGATAAAAAAACTCTTAGAAACACTGGGTGACCACATTCCAAGACTGAAATACCTTTTCATTGCATGTCACGCATATCTTTCATGTTTGACACCCATAACAAAACTAATAAATCATGCTTTTCAGTTTAACCTTTACACCTTCTGATGTTTGCACATCATGCTACTGTAAAGTATTTGAATCAGATAATTGCAGATAAAAGGACACTATCAAATTTCCTTTAATGTCCAGTGCAGGCCAGAGAATCTTAGTTAGAACACTTGATCTGTTCCTTAAGGCCCATTCACACCAAGAACGATAACTATAAAGATACCTGTAACACTAATTATGTTAATGTCCACACCAGAATCCGGGTGAATTCTGATTAACTGTCAATGTTATTATCATTAATCAGCTGGAAAAAAAAATTCTGAAAGTGATTCCAATGATATTCCTCTGTGTTGTTATAGTTATATAACCATTATAGTTGTGGTGTGAATGGGTGTTTAGGCAGTCACTGAAGCAGACTTGAAAATGGGAGGGGGGGGGGATTATTTGTTAATGTCTTTCATCTGCTCATAAAATGTAACAAAACAAATATTAATGTCAAATGTAGTGTTTGTATTCTTGTACACATTTCAAAGGAATTGTAGTTATAATCTGGAAACATTCTAAATTGATCCATAATGTATCCTTGCTATTTGTTCCTCATTATCATTTTTCATAAAAACAAAAAGTTGTGTTCTTTTCGCTGTACCCCACAAATTAAATACAAGTGTAGATGTGTAAAATGTTGTTTAGCTGGCTGGTTATGAATAAGATTATGAAAATATGGGGAGAGTCTTGACTCTTGACAACAAATGTACTACTTCGTACATAGACTATTGTTGGACTGCCAGCAAAGCCAGACTGGGTGACCAAATAGAGTAGTGTAACTTCAGTCTGGCCAACCTGGGAAAACAATTATTGACTTAACAGATGGACCTGATAAACACCAGGGGCCGGTTGCATAAACATAGCCACTATGTTAAGACTGTGTTTTAAGAACTAGTTTGACCAACTAGCAATTAGCCAAGAGATAATCAGTCTCACTTTTCTGATGAAAATTGGGCCAATCTAAGTTTTTGTAACTGACTTTAAACAGTTATGACCAGTCTAGAAGAAAACAAATTAAATGGCTAACTTTTTAAGACTAGTCTAAACAGTTTATACAGCCGGCCCCAGATTAGACCAGTGAAATCATCCTAAACCGGCTAAGAACTGGCTGAACTACTTATGGCTCGCCTAAACTGTATTCTGCTTGTCATACAATCTGAACCTGCATGGCAGTCCATGAGGCGACCCGCTCCATGTAAGATAAACCTGCTTTTATTAGGCTACTTATTGAGCTATGACCGGATTCTTCAACTCACGCTAACGTATATGATTAAAGATATTTTACTGTTCAACTTCTTCAGTTAGGGAAAAATCACTGCTTGCACCTTTAACACGCATGCTTCTGAAGCCACTTATTATATTTATCGCAATAACCAATCAAATGGAAGCATAAACGTTTTCTATTGGCTGAACGCTTATCCCTCCCGAGTCGAGACGTGACGCAGCGCTTGATAATTGGCTACTGGTTGTTGTGTTTAATACCAGTTTCTCACGTTACAGTCTTACAGTTTACGCCATTAGCTTGTGCATAGTTCTAATATGCGCTAAAGCCAAGATACGAAATATTTCAGACGACATATTCCGGGAGTTAATAATTTCCTGCACCATTGTTGCACATTCCGCAGACTGTAAGTATAATATGGGGTTGTTGGTTATGTGGAACTCTTATGCTCATGCTTTGTTCAGCTAGCTGTTAGCTTGTAGCTGGAAGGTGGCGAGACCACATGTTTGTCTGTTTTAGCGATAAAAACAAACTTTGAAGCTTTTTTAACGTGAGGGGATCGTAAATAACGAGCTATTCTGGCAAACTGCTTTGCGCAACGTAAATTGATTGTTTGGTTGATGGTGTAGCTAGCAAGACTGCTAGAGTTATTGTCATTAGCCTGTGTGCAATGTATTGTTAAAAGTAAGACCTTAAATAATTTCAGATCTGTCCATCAGACAAAGCGTTGTGATCGGTAACGCACCAAAACAGTCCATCTAAATATTGGCTCCTTAAGTTCGTTCTTAATCTTTACTTCTAAATTGAACACTGCATCCAGTACACAATGTTGTCAGTGTCGATGTAAAGGCTTTGTTCCAAATGATGTTCAAATGCTGATTTTTATAAAAGAACATTATCAGAAGATCTTTAGTTACTATTTAGTTATGACATTGTTTCTGTATTTTGTTAAATCACTAGTGCTTTTGGCTAAGAAAACAAGGGCTTTCGCAGGCCTGCTGCTGAAATTAATTAGCCCACTGTCTGGATTAAGTGACTACTGTTCCTTTGCTCGATTAAAAAAAAAGGTAAATTAAAAAAAAAAAAATTTTTTTTAAAGGTCTTTAGCTTGCTTTAGATTTTTTTAAAGGGATGATTCACCCAAAATAAAAATTGTCATTTACTCACCAAAAGTACATGTTTGACAGAATAACAGCTTCATTCTGCCTAAAACCACAGAAGAAAATGAGTCAAACGTGGTAAGTAAATGATGATAGAATTTAAGGATGAATTATTACTTAAGCCTGTTACACTAACATCCTAGATTGTTTTTCTACAAACTGGATTAAGTGACTACTGTTCCTTTGCTCGATTAAAAAAAAAGGTGTAAAAAAAAATTTTTTTTTAAAGGTCTTTAGCTTGCTTTAGATTTTTTTAAAGGGATGATTCACCCAAAATAAAAATTGTCATTTACTCACCAAAAGTACATGTTTGACAGAATAACAGCTTCATTCTGCCTAAAACCACAGAAGAAAATGAGTCAAACGTGGTAAGTAAATGATGATAGAATTTAAGGATGAATTATTACTTAAGCCTGTTACACTAACATCCTAGATTGTTTTTCTACAAACCGAATCAAAGTAAACACTGATTTTGTGAATATCACATTCACATCCTGTTTACTTTTTTTTGCACTGGCCACCTTTAAAGTTGTGATGAAACGGATGTAGCGACCGGAAGTAGTCATAGAGTGTGAGATGTGGCCGTTACACTAAAAAATGGAAGCAGATGGACTTGAACTCACAGAAACTGTGTTTAAACAAATTAAATGATTGGAGAAATTTTGCATACATCATCCGATAGAAGTCTGTCCGCACAACCTGTCTCTCACATGAGATGCTGCACCAGTAGCAAACGACAACGATTCAATAAATTTACAATACACAAAATGAAGTCTTGCTCTACATTTCTGTTTTTCTTGTTCAAGAAGGACTATCACACTTCTGTTTCATGGCACCTTTTTTTTCTTCTCATGTTGACAAGTCAGTACTTATGTCTTTACAGTCATTTTACAACCTTGCACCCATTCTGCGTGTATTTGTGACTAGCAAGGATGGTCTGGTGTGTAGTAAAGAACCATATGGTGTGCATATATGGTGTCTTACTCTAGGATGTAAAATTGAGTTCCATAACAGTTAAGCTCACCTCTTACAGGACAGGCGTTCACAGCCCGGAGTTAGTGGGAAATTAAGCCTCTGGATGTGTGCCTGTGGGTGGGGGGACCATGTTTTCAAGCAAATGTCTCTCACGTTGTCCTGAGGCTAACACTTTGGGGTGGATTATGAGCTCGTGGCTGCACGATAAATCGAAATGGAATCGAGATTGCGATTCGACAGAAGCTGCGATTGTCATGCGTATCTTTCAGTGAAGCATGGTTCTGTGATCAGCAGTAAATCTCCATCCAAAGGCCAGAGGGCGCTCTCGCGCTGAAACTCTAAATACGCTTCGCAGAAGAAACCCAGAAAATGCCTATCGCTGCAGCTGAATAAACAGAAGATTAAACTGCTATGCGCATGACAATCGCATTCGATTAATCGTGCAGCCCTAATTATGAGCATCATTCTAGATGTCTTTAATGACGGCAGTGCTTGACCTGCATGAACTCCACAAGTTTGTGTAAAACCTGATGATCATGTTCTCCAGCATAGTTTGAGATGAGCCAAAGAGCATCTTGAGCTTCAGTGGAAGAAGATCTGAATGTCTGTACAAAGTCACATGATCAGCCAAAAAAGTTTTTTATTAATCCAAAAAAGTCAAGTTGTTCAAAATTTTGGGGTCGGTAAGGTCTTTTAATGTTTTTGAAAGTCTATTATGCTCCCCAACATTGCATTTATTTGATCGACCATACAGTAAAAACAGTAATATTGTGAAATATTATTACCATTTTACATAACTGTCTTCTCTTTGAATATATTTTAAAATGTAATTTATTCCTGTAGCAAAGCTGAATTTTCAGCAGTCAGTACTCCAGTCTTCAGTGTCACAATCTAATATGTTGATTTGCTGCACATATCTTATTAGTATCAATGTTCAAAACATTTGTTCTGCTTAATATTTTTGTGAAACTGAGAAATGAATGATTCTTTGAGTAAAAAGTAAAAAAAAACATGATTGATGACTTTACTGTTACTTTTGATAAATTTTAAAACATCCTTGCTGAGTAAAAGTGTCATTTGATGTTTTTTTAAGCAACTAGCTAAATATAACTATTGTGTTGTCTCTTATCTGTCTGCAGAAAGCATAAAAAACCCATTGGTCATTGTGAGGAAGCCCATCACCAGATGAACACCCCTCCTGATCTACAGTAGACTGTTTTACTCTTTTTGTGAAGATGGCCCCCCTCCTCCTCCTCAGGCTGCCACACTGATCACCTCCACTGGACCACAGACACACAATGGAGAGAAAACGCAGAAAGAAATGAAAACTCAAGCCATGTGTTATTCAGGCTTCTCTGCATTCTGGACTTAAACTATTTAAAAACTGCAAATACACATTCACGTTTGTTACCTTTGAGGACACGTGTATCTTTAGATGGGCAATGACCAGAAACGGACTGCAGGGACCATGATCGTACGGCTGTGCTTGCTTGTGGCCTTTTTAGGGGGTCGATTGCCTCTGGTGGGCACAGAGGAAGACAGTGGACCGTTCTCAACGCCCTTTCCTTCTCCTCTAAATGCTGATGCACTCTTGAGCCCAAACTGCTCGCAGCTCACACTAAAACTGGACTTTTCTACCAAAGTGGTCAAGCATGGTAAGTAATGTCATTGTTGTAAGTTAATAATGTTATCTTACTGTGTTTGTAACAAAAGTAGGATTAATTTTGCTTATTAGTTAGCCAGTTGTCTAAGGTTTGTTTAAGGTTGTTGACCGCCAGGAGAACACTGAATTCCTCGTTGACTACAACATGTTCATACATTGTGTTTTAGTATGTCTTTTAATTGTAAATGTAATTAATAATTTAATTGTCATTGTAATTTACTTTTTAGTGTTGATGATAACATTTTATTGCACTGAAAATCAGCTGTCAACCCATTTATGGATTTAAAGCAGCTGTTGCCCTTCCCGTTGTAATTTAGGGCAGGACAAAACGTGAGCTCTTCAGGTCAAACAGTGCTGGTGTAATGTACTCCACTGTGCTGCAGCTCTCTGTTCATTCATTGGCTGGATTGTGCCCTATGCTCTGTGTTTGAGTGTGTTTGCTGGCGGCTGGCCCAGACTGTTGGCAATACATTCCTAAGACTTAATCTGAGTCCAGCGTTGTTTTCACAGGGCGCACATTTCACTAGTTTGGGTGTGGTGTGGATGTGAGTATACAAGACCAGAACATAACGTGTTATTTATAGTGGCCTGATTGCTGCTCTATGATTGCGACCTTTGTGCCGTCTTCTAATGTTTAATTAATTCCCACTTCCCTCACCCTCAGCTATGAATTGTGGGATTGGCAAGGAGATTTTATGTGCCAATAATTTAATTGTTCAGTATGATGTTTCTTGTAAATTCAATTTTGAACAAAGCGCATTGTCTGCTAATCTGACTGCATGTATTTCAATCTTCATTCTGGTTTTCCTTCAGGACATATTTTGTTGTACATTAAGTGGTTCATAATACATATTTTATTTGTTTAGTTTTCGCACAAAACACTTTGTTGCAAGTGAACCAGTTCAATTGGGTTGTGCCTGGGTTGTTTTTTTCTTTGCCTTGCAGAGTTTTGTTCATGGTTCGAGGATGATTGCATGGGTCCCATTCATGTTGACATCTGCCTACATGAATTAGCTTCTACCAAATGATAGATTAATGTGCTTAATACCGTATTGGCCCGAATATAAGACGACCCCCCCCCCCCCCCCACACATTTAAAAATATATAAACTTTTTGATATACCATTAAAAAAAAAACAGGTAGCCCATCTGAATTATCTGAATTACAGGTAGCCCATCTACGAAATACGGTAGATTAGACATGCAACTTTAAACGTCAACAACAATAGATGTAGGAAGTGTTTTTGATATGACCTTTTGATTGACAATTACGGTCATTTAAAAAAATGAAATGTGCATGGATGAATTGTTCACATGCATTTTAGAAAATAGGCCTAGATGAATTTGTTTCATACCGACTTTAATTGTATTTTTTATTATTAGCATTTGTTTCTCTCTGCTGTCCCCAAAGCCACTAAACTCTTAATGTATTCTGCATTGCATTCCCCCATGCACTTTTGGCTTTATTATAAGTTGCGTCAAGCACTCTGGACGACGGCCATATTTTAAGGCATTCTGTTCAGGTTTGTTGAGCAAAGAAAGACTGGGTGTTCCTCTATTCCCACCCTGTCCTAAAGTTTCAATCAGCAGACGTTATTTCTGTTAAAGGCTCTATTGTAGTTGTTAATGCAAGATTGAATCCATTTGAATGATGTCTTGACGTCTCGTTCTGTCTCTATTTGGGCCCAATGCCCAAGTGAATGTTACACCTTGCTAAAGTTGCATTCCTCAGTAAATACAAGTGCAGTTGTCCTGTGAGATTTTGTAATATCTTCTGGTCTCTTTCTTTGTCTTTTCTAGAGTACATTGTTGCATTTAATGGATACTTCACAGCCAAAGCACGCAGTGATTTCATCAGCAGCGCCCTGCGAGATGTGGATGCAGTGAACTGGCGCATCGTACGGCGGGACAATCCTGCCAGCGATTACCCCAGTGACTTTGAGGTGGTGGAGATCCGTCAGGATGCCCGCAGCAGCCTGCTCACCCTTCAGGACCACCCCTACATCAAACGAGTGACGCCCCAGCGCATGGTCCTCCGCAGCCTCAAACTGACTGACTGTAAGTAATACTCTACTGCCATAACACTGACATTGAGATCATGAGCATAATACTGTTATCATTCTGTACTATGCCTTACTGGAAATGTACTAAAACATAGTATTCTTAGTACATGGCATTAGGGCTGGGCGATATAGCTAAAAAATTTATCAACTATATAATGTTTTTAACACAATAAAAATTAAACAAATATCTAATTTCTAATGTTTTATATGCAGATTAAATGGGTCTTTATTGTATAGGTCTAATTGTCTCCCGAGGCCACAGGAGGGTGCAATGAGCAAAATAACGCAGTGCATTGAAATTGTCAACGCAAGGAAGTAACTCCATAAAAACGTGCATTACGTCTAAATTAACTCATAAAAATCTAATAATTTCGTAAATTGCATAATTATGAACAAAACAGCATCATTTATTTATGCATTGCTTAATCCAAAGAGCCGAAGCGCCATTCACACAGACTGCATTTAAAAACATATGAGATGCAGTGAAAAGGAATAAACCTCCACAAATTCGTGACGTATTTTCTAAAAGTTTAAACTGTTTTAACTTTGTTTGGCTTTCTATACATCTCTTCTGTGAGATGCGAGTGTAGCAGTCATATTTGTCCGTCTAAAAAAAAATGTGCTGAATATGCGTTTTGTGTGAATGGCTTGGTTTCAGTTTTAACCCATTCAAGATCTTCTCCGCATTGAGCTTCTATATTTCTCTAATATTTTGAATGAATAACGCACCAGCGGCGCGTCTCGTGGGCTAGACCAGAGGTCCCCAACCACCGGGTCGCGACCCACTACCGGGCCGCAAGAACGTTCTGGGGAAAAATGTGTATATGACACTCTGTTATTTATTTATGTTAATGATTGTTCTAATTATTCTGTATTTTCCTTGAATGCGATTGATATGGAGCAGCAATTTGACAATTTCATGTTAAATAAGTAAATGAAAGATTGCTCTGATCTGTCACATATTAGGAGTTAAACGGATCGCAGTTGATCCGTAATGCGTACGGATGAGACCCTACCATTCAGCACGCACGTGATTCGCAGATTAATTTGCCAATTTACACGTACAAGCAATTTTAAACCACAAGAAGAAACGAAATTCGTTACTCACACGCTGTTCTCGCACAAAATCAAAGCGCGCACAAGAGACGTGTTTCAGACAGCGTGGAAATACCAAGTTGCGTATACATACACATAAAATGAGCCTATGTCAAAAACCCTTCACGGCATTGTCATTCTCTGTGCTTTAAATATTTTTTTTCTTGCTTATCCGAAAAAATTGTCCGATCTGTGACTCAAACCGCAATATAATGTGACTCAAACCACAATATAATGCGTTGAACCACTATATAATGCTATTATAATACTATATAATAGTCTTATGTATATATATATATACATACATACATACATACATACATGCATATACCCCCCGTCCAGCCAGTCCGCGAGAATATTTTCCAAACGTAACCGGTATGTGGTGTAAAAAAGGTTGGGCTACACTAACAAAACATTAAAATAAATAACGTCACTTACATCATCACTGCACAGGTCACACAGGTTACGTGCAAATTGTTCCTCCCCAGCTCTCTTTGGGGTGACTGCAGGGAGGAAAGTCATCAGCAGGGGGTGAACCGAATAGGAAGTGTTTATTTACTGCATGGGGTGAGGGAAATGGCTTTCAGAAGTGTTTGAGGTGAAAGAATGTTCTGTCTTTGCACACAGAGTTTTCCATCACTAGAATAAAAAAGAAATTGCACCTCCATGCAAATCTGCTGTCAGTGTTGAGACTCTGGGAGAGTGATTGGTGTTTACTAGCACTGCTCCTGTATAATAATAGAATGACTTCCTCTCTATTCACATCTTCCTTTACCAGCACCCTAAACAAGCTACACGGCTTTTATATAATGCTCATCTGATGTTTACTGCAAGATTTTTGGCATCAACCCAAAAAACATTGTGAATTCCAACTATTCATTTTGTACTGTAAAATGCCATTCAAAAGTTTGGTGTCAGAATTTTATTACTTTAAAATTGATCACAAGTGCCCATAAAGACTTTTATATCGGTTTCAAATATATGCTGCTCTTTTGAACTTTCTATTCATCAAAGAATCCTGAAAATTTGTTGACTAAAAAAAAGCTGTTGAATAATAATAAATGTTTCTTGAGCACTAAATCAGCCTATCTGAATGCTTTCTGAAGGATCATGTCACTTGGAAGACTGGAGTAATGGGTCCTAAAAATTCAGCTTTTCCATCAGAAAGTTGTCCGATTGATTGAGTCAATGAGTCTTGTGTTCAATGCTGTTTGATTCTCCAGTTGGTTCTTTTGATTAATTAAAAAGAGCCATATCTATTGAATAAGTCCATTCTTGAATTGGACATCACTGGGTTTGGTCATCGAAGAGAACCCAATAAAGTTTCAGATTTTTTTTGGTGCTCAGTTTTTCTCTCCCATCACATGCCTTTCACATTCTCATAATGTAGCTAAAATATATTTTTGCAGACAGCACCACTCTGGAATAATTCTCAAAGAACTGCTTATCAGTCTGGCTCCACCAGTCTGCACCCACACACGCTAGGCTATCTCACTCTTCATCCACAGTCTATACACATAGCACAGCTTGGAGAAAGAGAGCCAACTAATAGCAGCTAATGATGTATTTTTGTTCTTATTACTGAAACCAAAGTGCCTCTAAGAATAACCCCATGTCACAGTTTGAGAGCATATATGCAAGTAATTATCATTTAAATGATGTCGGGGTCAGCTCTACAAGAGCACGAGTGGGGGCTTGAAATGTAATATAATTACAGTATATGCACTAGTCTCGTCTGTATAGCTTTAGGGGGAATTAATGAGCAGTAATCAGCTAGAGAGGAAGACTGTCAGAGCTGGTCAAAGTGGTTTGCTCGCTTAAACGCCTACGATTCCTTTCCAAGTGCTGCACCTGCGTTTTACGAGAGTTGTTTTTTTTTACTCTTCACTCTTCAGCTTTTCTATGTAAACGTGTACGTATAAACGTTTGATCACCGTTATTATCGCTCTGCTCTGTTTGAAAAAACTTGTAAATATTCCTGAAAGCACAGGCTACCCGTCTCTGATCTCGCCAGAATTTATTCAAAGAGCCAATAAAAATGCAAATGAAGGTGTAGATGTTGATACCATGTGGTTAGGTTTGTGTTAGACAAATGGACAGAATCTGATACTGTGCACGTTTTGTCAATATTTACTGCCTTTTTTTTAAAAATCAGTTTTACATTATTGTTACTTTTGAGCCAGTGTTGTTGAATTCAGTTGATTTAAATATGTTGCCACGTTATAATTATCTAGAAAGTCTTAGAAACAGTTAGAATGGGTTATTCTATACCATCTTTTTCCAGCAAAAGTGTTTATAAATTAGATATTATAGTTGTAGAATCAATATTATTATACTACAATATTATATTATATTACCAGGGCAGGTACATAGTTGAATTATTAAAATCCATGTTGTTGAACTTTGATTTATTTTGTGGCTTAAAATATTCATGATAATGGGGTTTATTTGTATTCTAAGTTCTGGGGCGATGGTGTCTACAGAGAAAAGTGCTCTTGAGTTATGAGAAATAAATGTGCCCTTATAAAGTGAATATAAATGCAGATTAAATGGGGAACATGGCTTGAAAGAGTGATAAATTACATGATAGTTCAAAAAAATTGAAAGACATTATTTGAAGTGAGCATTTTTAATAATCCTCCTCCTTAGGGCCTGGTGACAATACAGCATGAGTTGGCAGAAGTGTGTCAGCCAATAGAGGTTATTTTATGCTGTTTATAACACAGTATATTCATGGCACAAATAAAATTACAATTTATATTTCATCCCATTTGATAAATAATTTCTCATTCCTTTTCTCTTTCAGCGGGCACTGATGGGGCGTCCCCGTGCAATGACACACGCTGGGTGCAGAAGTGGCAGTCGTGGCAGTCATCAAGGCCGCTCAGGAGAACCAGTCTCTCTCTGGGCTCTGGATTCTGGCATGCTACAGGAAGACACTCCAGTCGCCGTCTCCTACGGGCCATCCCCAGACATGTCGCTCAGATACTGCAAGCAGATGTGCTCTGGCAGATGGGACACACTGGTATGTGTTAAATAATGGGATGTTGTAATTAATGTTCAACTCCTTTTGGAGATCAGGTTTGCGATGAAGCTTGTGTTCCTGTTTGTGTTCATATGCAGGCTCTGGGGTGAAGGTAGCGGTATTTGACACTGGGCTGAGTGAGAAGCACCCTCACTTTAAGAATGTTAAAGAAAGAACCAACTGGACCAATGAGAAAACACTGGATGATGGTTAGACATGAAACAATGTCATGATACAAGTTTAAACGCATTTAATTAATCATTATTGCGCTCTGAGTGAAGTTGACTGAATCAACCCAGATGAATTGTTCAGATTACAAGCATTAATCATGCTTTTATCTTCCTCTGTCTCGCATTCTTTCTTCAGGGTTGGGTCATGGTACCTTTGTTGCTGGGGTTATTGCCAGCATGAGAGAGTGCCAGGGATTCGCTCCTGATTCTGAGCTTCATATCTTCAGAGTTTTTACTAATAACCAGGTAGCACACAACACTCAAATCCATGATCCTATACAACCGCTTTTCAGGATTAAAAATGTCTTTACTGTCACTTTCAATCAATTTAATGCATCCTTGCTGGATAAGCGTGTAAATTAATGTTTTAAAAAATGTAACGCAGTTTTCACAAAAAGTATTAAGCAGCGCTACCGTTTTCAACATTGATAATAAGAAATGTTTCTTGAGCACCAAATCAGCATGTTAGATTGATTTCTGAAGAAAGGGATAGTTCACCCAAATGAAAAATCTGTTATTTACTCATCCTCAAATTGTTCCAAACATGTATGAATTTCTTTTTTCTGCTGAACACAAAAGAAGCTCTTTTGAAGAATGTGGTAAACCAAAGAATTTCTGGTCCCCATCAACTTCCATAGTATTTTTGTTTATACTGCTCCGTTCTTTAACTGGCATCGGTTTTCAGTTTTTGTATATTATTACATAATAATTCAGGCTGATTTTTACACATCTCCACATACGCATATGTTCTTCTTTTTTCTTTTCTTTTTTTTCTTCTTCTTCTTAGGTGTCCTACACCTCCTGGTTCTTAGATGCCTTTAACTATGCCATCCTGAAGAAGATAGATGTCTTAAATCTCAGTATAGGGGGACCAGACTTTATGGACCATCCTTTTGTTGATAAGGTATGGACAAATTAAATTGACATTTATTCATTCTGCAGGTGCTTTTGTCCAAAGAAACTAAAAATGAGAAACATCTCAATTTTGATAAGGGCCAACAAATTTTAATAAAGGTGCAGTGTAAAAATACACTGTACATCAATGTTTATGCTCTCTGAAATGTAGTGCTCTAATAAAAACTCTTGTTTAACAAGGTTTGGGAGCTCACAGCCAACAAGGTGATTATGGTATCTGCTATTGGCAATGATGGCCCACTCTATGGGTAAGAAAAGTAGTTTTTCAAGGACAAATTATATTAGATTTGGCCAATATTCCCAACATATCTATTGATACTGATTTTTAAAAAAAAATTTTTATTTGTGTCTTCCAGAACTCTGAACAATCCAGCAGATCAGATGGATGTAATTGGTGTTGGAGGGATTGATTTTGAGGACAACATTGCCAGGTTCTCATCCCGGGGCATGACAACATGGGTGCGTTCTGTCTTTTGGTGACATCACATTACTGAATTTTTCCTGTGCAGCTGCCTAAAGAGGCCAGTTAGAACATGTTTGTGCATTTTGATCTGACCTAAAAAGGGCAGACAGACAACTCCTGCTACACAGAGTTGGAGATACCTGGCCTCCCCCGCTTCAGGAAGGAGAATAAATTGAAGAGATGTACATGCACTTCAAAAGACTTAGTAAAAACCCTCTATTGCACCTTTGAAGTTGTTCAAAGAATTACAGCTTTGTAGATTTTCAATAAAGTTGCAAATAAATGAATGTCCTTGAGATAAGATAAATGAAAATGGATTTCCCAGTTAAAGAACTGGGTGATATTGCAAAAAAAAAAAAAAAAAAAATTAAAATTACTCTACTCTTAAGATCTTTCAGAATTTATTTAGTATTTATGAAACATTTGTTTTACTTATTATAATCTTAATATTTTTGTGAAAAGTGATACATTTTTCATGATTCTTTGATGAATAGAAAGTCCAAAAGAACAGCATTTATTAGAAATATAAACTATTTGTAACCGTGTGAATGTCTTTATTCTCACCTTTAAAAAAAAAAAAAATCAATTTAATGCTTCCTTGCTGAATAAAATTACTAAATTCTTTCAAAAAAAAAAAGAAAAGAAATACAAGAAACAAATGAATTGACAGAATCAATCTTATTTTCCACAGGGAATTGAATGGCACAGTTTCTCTTTTACTATCTTAGCTTTTGCTATATATTTGATGTAGTCCGTCCTCCCAGACTGTGATGGACTAACCTAATTTGCCAGTGTTTCCACTTTATACTGTTTTCATTTCACCTCCTTCAGTTCTCTTCCTTTCTATCTTTTTCATTTATATTGCTCTCATTTGTATTAGTCTCTCATAGGTACTTGACCCCATCTGCCTCTTTGCTTTATGGCCTCTGAGTCACTATGTGCCAGTGTTTCTTTTAAGTCTGTTTTCCAGTCCTCAACCCACAGGGTTGCTGAAATGATATCCCATCAACCCACATCCATTTAACTGAGCCATGTTGGTCTTTTGTCTTTCCAGCACTGTGTTGAACAGAGAGCTGGTGAACCCGGCCAGTATGAAGCAGGCCCTGATCGCCTCAGCACGCAGGCTGCCAGGCGTCAACATGTTTGAGCATGGCCTCTGAGTCACTATGTGCCAGCGTTTCTTTTAAGTCTGTTTTCCAGTCCTCAACCCACAGGGTTGCACTGAAATGATATCCCATCAACCCACATCCATTTAACTGAGCCATGTTGGTGTTTTGTCTTTCCAGCACTGTGTTGAACAGAGAGCTGGTGAACCCGGCCAGTATGAAGCAGGCCCTGATCGCCTCAGCACGCAGGCTGCCAGGCGTCAACATGTTTGAGCAGGGCCATGGCAAACTCGATTTACTCAGAGCCTACCAGATCCTTAACAGCTACAAGCCACAAGCCAGGCATGTCTCTGGCATCCGCACAAATATAGTGTTCTGCTCTTTGACTAGCATTCTGCTCGCGTAGCATGCTCACATTATCTTATTCATGTATGCTGAATTGGTTCATTTAAAATGTAGCCAGGCATCTCTGTCGCACACTCATTAAGATTTAATTATGTTCCAGCCTGATTAAAGAGTAGATTTGACCCGGTTCATTATCTTGCACTGGCTCTCAGTGAGGTCATCGTCCTCTAATGAATTTCTAATGGTGTTTTTTTTAATTTTTTTTATTCTTTAGCTTGAGTCCGAGCTACATAGATCTGACTGAGTGCCCGTACATGTGGCCCTACTGCTCTCAGCCTATTTACTACGGTGGCATGCCGACGATTGTCAACGTGACCATTCTTAATGGTATGGGTGTAACGGGAAGGATTGTGGACAAGGTAGGCAGTAATAAATAGACCGCAATGTAAACTTTTTATGTTAAATTGTAATTTCAAACATTCATGGTGCATTTGATTAAGCTCGGTTATGTTTTATATCCGCAGCCCATCTGGCAGCCCTACCTTCCTCAGAATGGGGATTATGTGGATGTGGCGGTGTCTTACTCGCCTGTACTCTGGCCCTGGGCCGGATACCTGGCTGTTTCCATATCTGTGGCCAAGAAAGCTGCATCGTGGGAAGGCGTCGCTCAGGGTCATGTCATGGTTACAGTGGCCTCACCAGCAGAGAATGATGTGAGTAACAGTACTGTCCCTGAAATCTCCAGTAAGGTGATAATTTGCTATTTTAATTTGTATTTGAAAGTGCTCTTCTCCTTAAATCATAAGTTCATTTTATTGGTTTATGACCACACTTCTTTCAGACTGTAGTAGTGTAATTTGAGATCATGACCTGCTGTGGTCTGTTTTTCGTGTGTTTGTATCCAGTCAGCAATAGGTGGTGAGATGACCTCTACTGTTAAGTTACCAGTGAAGGTAAAGATTGTCCCTACTCCGCCACGTAGTAAGAGGATTCTGTGGGATCAGTACCACAACCTACGCTACCCGCCTGGCTACTTCCCCCGAGACAACCTGCGCATGAAGAACGATCCACTTGACTGGTGAGCCTCGACCACCAAAAATAATCCACATTCAATCAGTTGTTAGAAAATGCATTGCACTGTGAAAAAGAATCTGTAGAGGGCAGCATTTCATAGCTTGTTTCTAGAAACCTTTTTACCCCAATTTTTCTTGTTTTCTTGTTTTGAAGGAATGGTGATCATATTCACACTAACTTTAGAGACATGTATCAGCACCTTCGCAGCATGGGCTACTTTGTCGAGGTCTTGGGTGCACCAATCACATGCTTTGATGCCAGTCAGTATGGTAGGTGTTCATCTAGTGGAGTATTTTCTGTATAAAGGATTCTGTCTTGAAGATGAATTGGTTTTGTGGTGTAAGTAGTGATGGAAATCAGCTGTCATCTGTCTCTGCATGCATGTTTATAGGGACCTTGCTGATGGTAGACAGTGAGGAAGAGTATTTTCCAGAGGAAATCACCAAGTTGAGGAGGGACATAGATAACGGCCTGTCTCTCATCATCTTCAGTGACTGGTACAACACATCAGTCATGAGAAAAGTCAAGTTCTATGATGAGAACACCAGGTACTGAGAACATCAAGGCATACCGTAATCTTTTGTGTCACTGTCTCTATCTTTAAAAGATGATTTATCAGTCCACTGTACTGCATGTAATTCTGGGTAAATGTTCAGTGGGGTCCAATAGTCCAAGGCCATTAGTAAAAATATTTTTTTTATGTTTAAAGAAAAAAATGTTAAAAACAAACAAATGTTAACACAAAATTTATTATGTTAATAATTATGTATTTAGGTCATGGGAAATATTTCTTTAATATTTTTACTTATTGCTTTAATCCTGAAACCTTTTACTAATTCTTTAGGTTTAAATGTAAAAAAAACCCTCATATTTCAGTTGTTCTGAAACTGTTTGGACACCACAGTATATGGCAGAAAACTTAACTAATGCTACTGCACAGAAAGTTAGCGTTTCAATAGACAGTAATTTGTGTCAAGACTGCCTTGCTAATTACTTGATTAATTGTGATTTCACCTGACATTTTTATTCAGCGATGGGTTTGTCTAATTTTCCAATTATCTTCTGTTTTTCTGTCCTGATTTAAGTAAATCGTGCTTCCCATTAGGGTATTTAAGTGCCCTAATTAAAAACTAATGTTATTTTGGGGGGATTAAAATTGTGTGGTTTCTATTATTGGATGTGACAAATACTTTTTAAATGGGGCTCTTAGTAAAGTGTTCAATTTGTTTATCAAATAAAGGCAAATTTTGAAACATGCCTTACACATTTGCAGGCAATGGTGGATGCCGGACACAGGGGGCGCTAACGTGCCAGCCTTGAATGACCTGATCTCAGTGTGGGGTATGGCCTTCAGTGATGGTCTGTATGAGGGGGACTTCACAATGGCAGATCATGACAGTAAGACTCTATAACTTCTCGCTATAACATAGCTGTATCATAGATTCTTGTTAAATGCATGATATTGAGTACACTGTTTTAATGGCGACAAGTTTACCTAAAACAAAAAATGGATTTCAATAATATACCATATCTTTTGCTTTTAGTGTATTATGCCTCGGGGTGCAGCATCGCTCGTTTTCCTGAGGATGGGATTGTCATCGCTCAGACCTTAAAGGATCAAGGTACACGGCACCTGCTGTGATCGTACACCTCACATCACTGCTGTATCCATGGAGACCAGCTGAAGGCTGCCTTGTATTCTTAATCCTTGGGATGCATTGTCTTTAAATATCTACATCTGACAAGGTTTATTGACATTTATTTGTTCTCAGCAATCTGTGGAAGCACCAGAAGCTACTGTCAGTGGACATGGACAAGGTTGTTTTGCCTAATGTGAGGCCATATCGGCCTCAGGTTCGACCTCTGTCTCCTGGAGAAAGTGGAGCCTGGGATATCCCTGGAGGTGAGGAAAGAACCCTTTGCTGCATGTTTAGGAAATAATCAACCAGATGTCACCCACAAAAGGGCTTTTTACAATTCAGCCAATACATTGCAGTAATCCATGTCTGTGTTTTTCTCAGGAATAATGCCCGGCCGCTATAATCAAGAGGTGGGTCAGACCATCCCAATGTTTGCGTTTCTCGGTGCCATGGTTGTTCTTTCCTTCTTTGTGGTGCAACTGACCAAGGCCAAGAGCAAGCCCAAGCGCAGAAAACCCAGAGTGAAACGACCGCTTTACCTTCAACAACAGCAACAACAAACCCCACACTCAGGCAAAAACCCCACCGTATGATCCGCTATATACCACATCTGGACAAACTAATGGGGAACAGTCTTCCCTGCGGTGTGTGTGATGCCGTAACCCCATGATAATGAGATCTGAAGGGCTGTGTATGTACGTTCTTGAGATTAACCAGCCTCCTGCGCCCAGATGAGGGCCTTGTTTGGACATCAGTGTTCCTTCTCTTGTCTTTATTCAACACTTGCCTTTCAATTTAGTGACCAAATGGAAGAATGTTCCTTTTTTTAATTTATTGATGAATTAATTGACCCTTGCTTTCTGACAAATTGGACAACCGAAACCAGCCATTCAGTTTCCTTGATTAACATATTGGACTTGTTTCCACCTGTCCTCATTTTTGTATTCAGTCAGACTGTTTTTATACAACTCTTGTGTTCTTGCGTATTTTGTAAATAGCCATCATGATTTCACTGTTGTTGGTGTTTTAAATATATCTTATCCAATATAAAGCAAGAAAACCTGCCTCTGTCTTTGTAATAAATCTTAGATGACAGTCTTCATATAACATTACAATGGAGGAAAAAACAAGAACAGTGTTTATCTTGTTTATCCAAGGGATGATTCAGGTAAACCATCAGAAGTATATGTGCCTATGCAACGGAGGAAAGCCATATATGACTTGGTCCATCTTTTTGTGTTTATCTTCATTACACCACACACAAACATATGTGCTGTCATATATCTTTCTAACAGGTTACAAACACCTTTAATTAAATTAGAATTAAATGCACATTCTTTATTTTAAATATAATGTCTTCCTGTGAAGCTGAATTTTCAGCAGCTATTACTCTAGTCTTTAGTGTCACATGATCTTTCAGAAATAATTCTAATATGCTGCTTTGGTGCTCGGGAATAATTTCTCATTATTAGTGTTGAAAAGTTTTTGCTGCTTAATATTTTTGTGGTACAGTAAACCATGGTACACTATCATTCAAAAGTTTGGGCTAAGTAAGATTTAAAAAAGAGAAAGAAATACTTTTATTCGGCAAGTGACACTGGAGTAATGGCTGCTGAAAATTCAGCTTTGTCAGCAGACTCCTCACAGGAATCAATTACATTTTTAAATTGTCATATTGTTTCACAATATTACTGTTTTTATGGAATTTTTTTGATAAATATATCTGCAAACATTTATTAGGCTATCTTTTTAATCCGCATTGGAAATCATTGTTACTGCTGAAAGTGCAAGAAATATAACAAATTGAGTTTCCCAAGGTAAAAAGCATTCTTCAGACTATCCCACACAACCATATTATATTTTTATTTATTAATGCATTATTTTCAGTTTATTGTAATTATCTTTATCTAATAATTAATTATTATAAGTAATTTGTTTTTAATTTAATTAATCATTTTTAATTCATTTAATGAATTCATTCATTTTTATGAATTAGATTTAATCTGATGATGATTATTATTATTTCGGTAGGCAATCACCTCTACCGTTACTCCAAAGTGCTGGAGGCTCATCTGGGTGACCCTAAGCCTCGTCCTCTACCTGCATGTCCTCATCTGTCTTGGGCTAAACCCCAGCCGCTTAATGAGACTGCTCCTAGGTCAGTACACATGAGACCGCTGCCATTCTCAACTACTGCACTGTCAGTGGAAACAAATCTAAATTGGGATGCATTGTCTTTAAATATCTCATTATTAGTGTTGAAAAGTTTTTGCTGCTTAATATTTTTGTGGTACAGTAAACCATGGTACACTATCATTCAAAAGTTTGGGCTAAGTAAGATTTAAAAAAGAGAAAGAAATACTTTTATTCGGCAAGTGACACTGGAGTAATGGCTGCTGAAAATTCAGCTTTGTCAGCAGACTCCTCACAGGAATCAATTACATTTTTAAATTGTCATATTGTTTCACAATATTACTGTTTTTATGGAATTTTTTTGATAAATATATCTGCAAACATTTATTAGGCTATCTTTTTAATCCGCATTGGAAATCATTGTTACTGCTGAAAGTGCAAGAAATATAACAAATTGAGTTTCCCAAGGTAAAAAGCATTCTTCAGACTATCCCACACAACCATAGGCTCCCTGTAATTGAATGCTGGTGTTCTTCATTCTAAATCGGATCAACACTGTCTGCTAAGCAGTCCTGTAGTTTCCTTCTCTTTTTTTGCTTCAGGCCAGTGTGAAATCGACTAATTCTATTAGAAGTGATAGGCGCTGGGAAGTCTCTCTAAATCTCGTTCCTGATCCATTTTTAATGGGAAGAATAGCCTGTGAAAATGTCACCAGTCCCTTCCAGGTGACGAAACCTGATAGAGGTTAATGACATGAAGAACATGGGAACTAAATCTGACCAGTTATCTGTGCTTAAGTGGATTTCCCAAATCTTGTCACAAAGGAGGTCACATGTTCCACTTGTCCCTCATTTCTGGAAAGTTCCCAGCCTTGCTTTTGATTTTTTTGGGCTCCAGACGAGTGACGGTGAGCCTGTAGCACCAGTGCCAAACCCCCACCCCTGGAACACATGCTGTTAAATGTTGATTTTGGGGGGGGATTCAAGTTAGACCAATCTACATTTTTATGTAACTGATTTAAACAAGTTATGATCAGTCTTAAAGAAAACATTTAGATGACCAACTTAAGACTAGCCTTTATACAACCGGCCACTGGGTATTCCAAAAAATGTATGCGTGAAAATTGAACAGCTCTGTAATCCTTTTTAACAGTTCCCTGCTGAAAAAAAGTATTTTTAGTATTTTTATTTTTAATTAAAATAATAATAATAATAATTTAACAACATTACTCAATGACATGCTTAATCTGATCGTATTTAACTCACACAAGTCTCTATGTAACATTGTTGTCGTACCGCTGTAAATGAATGCATGAACCCAAATGCTTTTCAGTAAATTACTGACGAATCAAGAGAGTTTGATTGGCCTGAAACACCAACCTCCCACCGCTCATTCACCTGACCTAAAGTTTGATTTCCCTCAGAGAGTGATCCAAACAGGGACGAACATGGAGGAGCTGGCTAAAGAAAGCATCAGCTTTTTAACAAAGCCCTCTCTGGACACAAACGGAGCGAAGTTGGGCTCGTTAGGAGCGGTTTTCATCATGCTGAAGTCGGCTCTGGGTGCAGGGCTTCTCATCTTTCCCTGGGCGTTTGAGAAAGCTGGAGGAATTCACTTAGCTGTCACTGTGGGAATGGCAAGTAACTCTGTGCGGTTGCTACAATGAAACACTGATTCTTTAAATATTTTATGTCTCAGTTAAGCTGGTTTCATCACTGTTGCTTCTACCATATCGATTATATGCACACTAAAAGAATTATCTATCCAATGTGTCCAATGATCTTTTGAGAGAACTATTTGATTAGTGTATACATATTGTTAACTCTACGAAGTCTGAATGACATATTTCCACTTATTTTAATTCTGTTCATGATATTATATATTTTGTCTTATTTAAACAGATTTCTCTTGTGTTCCTGATCAGTGGACTTGTCATCTTGGGTTATTCGTCTTCAATCAGTGGACAAAACACATATCAGGCTGTGGTCAGAGATGTGTGCGGTCCTGCCATAGGCAACCTCTGTGAGATATGCTATGTCTTCAACCTCTTCTTCATATCTGTTGCTTTTCTGGTCATAGTGGCTGACCAGCTTCAGAAATGTAAGCAACGTAAAGCCGTTAATGGGACTTTGAACTCTTTTTTTTTATTACTAATTGCTCATATAGTGTACTTTGTAAAGTAGTCATTATCCATTAGATCCTCACATTGATCCATCTCCATTCATTTCTCCCAGTGTGTGTCTCTATATATGAGTTAATCACAGGCTTGCCAGAATCAGAGATGCCATACTACTGGTACACAGACCAGAGATTTGCCCTGTTTCTCCTGTGTCTCTTCTTCATTTTCCCTCTCTCTGTCCCAAAGGAGATCAGCATACAGAAGTATACCAGGTGAGGAACTGTATTCTGTCAGTGTTTTTATTTTTTTTAATTTTTTGCATATTTTCTTGTCTATTGTTCAGAACAGTGTTATTATTGTTAACTAAACTATAAGTCATTTTTGGTCATTGAAATAAATATTACATGAAAAACTTAAAAATGAGAAAAGTTGCTTGGCAACTAACTGAAATAAATGTAGGTACAGAAAGTACTAAACCTGAAATAAAAAATAAATAGAAATAAAAAATGAATGTAAATTGTAAAAGCACAACACAATTACTAAAAATTAAAATGAATTAAAAATATATGAATGAATGAAAATATAAAAATAAAAGCTAATTTAAAATATTCATAATTGCTGTAACAGTATATAAATAATACATAACCCTTGTTCAGAAAGCACAGTTTTTTTCAGGAAGGTTGTTTTAACAGTTGTGTTTTAATGGTAATTCCTATAGCGATTATTTTTCTAGTTATGATCTGCTCAAGATGTATTTCATCAGCTAGACATTGGCGTTTACTCACAAGTCACAGTGATGTCCCATTTGTGAGTGAATGATTCTAAACTGGTTCTTTTTAGTGAATTGTGTGCAACAGTTTACAAATTATTCTTTTGGGTCTTAGTCAAAATGTTTTTTGGAAAGGGCATGGAATTTGATTGAAAGATATTAATGAATGAAAATATAAAAATAAAAGCTAATTTAAAATATTCATAATTGCTGTAACAGTATATAAATAATACATAACCCTTGTTCAGAAAGCACAGTTTTTTTCAGGAAGGTTGTTTTAACAGTTGTGTTTTAATGGTAATTCCTATAGCGATTATTTTTCTAGTTATGATCTGCTCAAGATGTATTTCATCAGCTAGACATTGGCGTTTACTCACAAGTCACAGTGATGTCCCATTTGTGAGTGAATGATTCTAAACTGGTTCTTTTTAGTGAATTGTGTGCAACAGTTTACAAATTATTCTTTTGGGTCTTAGTCAAAATGTTTTTTGGAAAGGGCATGGAATTTGATTGAAGACTGTGGGAAGCCTGTTTAGGTGGAAAGAGTTGCGAGTAACTGAATTAAAAAGACTGTTATTGTGCTTTCATGAATTTCATGAAGTGCTATTATTGCTTCTGTTTTTCATTCGGACTTTTATGGTCAATTGCCGTGACAGTGCACAGCATTTTGAATAGCTTTAAAATGACTCTTCTCTGCTTTGACTAATAAGCAAAGCTTTCCTCCCCACGCATCATCAAGATAATTTGTTTTATGTCAGCCGCATTTATTTTCTCATCAATAGTCTTTGATACTTATTTTTGCTCAGTGTTCTAGGAACTTTTGCTGC